GTTAATTTTACAGCGTTAACAATTCGAAATTTTTCTGCGAAACGACCGCAGGAGTAGTGCCAAATTTTCTCGGCATATTCTTGGCGCCAACTCCGGCCGAAACCTTGAAGAGTAGTGCTTTTTTTTTCCTACGGTAGTCGCTTTGTCTACCGATACGTTTAACTATTGGCAAAATAAATACGGGTCACTACGCAAGTCCGCAGAGCTAGATGAAAGTGCCCTACAAATCTAATTGTTATTTGCGACAATAAAAAATATATGAACGTAAAGTAGCATCGTAAATTTAGAGCATACTGTCTGGCGTTGCAAATAAAAGGGCGGACACGTGAAACTCCGCAAGTACCAAAAAAAAATTGCAGGTAATATTTATGTGTTTCTGAGATCCCGCAGGGACTTGCCCGGCGTATAAATCAAACGGATGGTCCGCTTTTTCTAGTTGAAAATGCGGCAAATTGTGGCAATTTTTGTAACAGTTGTTGATATAAAATTGGAAGTACGTGAATTTAAAGCCTATTTTGTGCAGCGCGACCTATTTAAGTTGGAAATACACACGGGAAATGCTAATTTTTCAACGGATTTTTATTTTCATCATTTGCAAATAATTAAAATCAAATTGAAAGAAAGAGATGAATAAGCCTGCCTTGCAACTATAGGAAGACAAGTTTTGTTAAATTGCTTAATAAAAATGTGTCCTTTGCTAAAGTTCATTTGAAATATCAGGGTGCAATTCACAAAATAGTCTTTAGTCAAGCCCACTAGTTGCCATTTTTTTTTTCTAATTTTTATTTCATATTATGTAAATTTTTCGTCCTCTTTCAAATTTAATGATCTTGTAATATGCAAAGCATTGCTATAAAAAATTCTCATTTATTTCACAACATTGTTTGAAATAAATTCATGAACATGAACTGAGATTAAATTAGTGAGAGGCGATCAACGTCATTTTGAACCAATTTGCAAAAATTAGAGTTAAAGGTGCTAAGATTAACTTCTTAGGTATAACAATGGATTCTTTGTAAAGTGGGATTTTCACATATCAAGTCTAGACCCAAAATTAAACATCGCGAATACAGTTGCCAGAAAACTAGAAGATTGGCAGTTTCAAAGGATATTACTTGGCTGGTTATTCGAGCAATTTCTGAAGAGAATCTTGTAGCCCATATTTTAAGAATTTGAATATCTTAATAGTTTTTCTGTGAATTTTTTACAGTTGCTAGTATTTGTAACACGAAACAACCACTTATTTCTCCTAAATAATAATAATAACACCAATAATATCTTCATTATCCCACATAGTAACAATATAATCAGTGTATTATGGATTTCGTTAAGTAGGTCAAAATTAGGTACACAATATAGATCACGCAAATGAGACAGAAAATCGCATTAAAAAATTATATAATAAAAATAAATATATGACATCAATAAGTAAAATATTCGTTTAGAAAGTTTAGATTATAAAAACTGTTTTCTAGAAAAAAAAATTTCGGTGTGGGTTTAAAAATGTTTACATTACTACTGCTCTTTAGCTCTGGGGAAATTTTATTATACACTCTAACACGTAAAATATTTTTTTGAAAATTCTAGTCTATTTATTTTTTATAGAAATACAGTCTTTCTTACGTGCATTATATTCGTGGAAATCTCCGCTTTTTTGTAAGTTATTTTTATTTTTAAACGCAAACTTCTACGCTAAAGGCAGTACTTTAAACTCCCTGCACGAACTATCCGGCGACAATCCAGCAATACGCCTTAGGACTTTCTTTTGGGATTTGAAAACAGATATGGCATGGCTTGAACTTCCCTAAAAGGGAATACCATAAGTAATCTCGAATAGATATGAGCATAGTAGAAATTTATCAAACATTTTCCACTTAAAACAGTTTTCCAATGTCTTGTTAGGAAAGGTGGCTTTTACTTGATGAAAATCCATTTAACACAAATTGAACTGAGGTGGCTTTTACTTGATGAAAATCCATTTATCAAAATAAATAAGAACTAAAATTTCAGATTTTCAAGAAATTATATATTTTGACATGACAATTGTTACGAAACAATTGTCATGTCAAAATATATAATTTCGTGAAAATCTGAACTTTTAGTTCTTATTTATTTTGATTTCCATTTAACACAATTAAATTAAAATAAATAATGTTCAGATTTTCACGGTTATATATTGTTCTATGAGAGCTGTTTCGACAACTCCGTGCCTTTATCAAATACAAAATATGACAATATTCCAACATCTAACTGGGTAGTAATAGATTCTTAATTGCCGCTATAGGGTTCTAAATTTAAATTTAACAACACATTTAAATGCAGTTGGTCATTAAGTAATAGATTCGAATATCTTATTTTATTCATCTCCATAGATTAAAACAAACTTAATTTTTTGCTTTTTTTTCATTTTGTAAAATATCAAAATTATCATCAAACTTGTGCATTTCTGAATTTAAATGAATGGCGTTATTAGAATCCTTGCTTTTATTTTTATACGCTCTTTTACGTTCGTACGTGCATTTCTTAAATGTTCTACCTGTTTGTCCGATATATAAAAAAAAAACTTGTTAGATAGTTTAATAGTTTGTTTAGACCAAAATTATTTTGAATTTAATGGTCAATTGTATATTGCTAAAGAATGATTAATTGTGGGAATCCCACTTAATCCACTACTTAAGGAAATTTTCATGGACGATGTGGAAAACATCATACATAAACATCTTCTGAGTAAAAGACTTCTTTGGTGGTATAGATACGTAGATGATGTTTTTGCTTGTTTCACTGGAACGGAAAGACTCCTTTTTGAATCATATTAACTCCATACATGAGAATATAAAATTTACCATAGAGACGGAACTAAATAACTCTTTACACTTTCTGGATTTAACTACAACTAAATTACAGAACAAATTAGAATTTTCCAGTTACCATAAATGCTCACACACGGACACAGTAATTCATAATCACCCTCACACACACAAAATGACTGCCATTTAACAATGGTTACGAACTCTATTTGATAGACAAGACTATAACTAAAAAACAGTTCCAAATAACTCGGAACTCTATGAAATACCGAACCCAAAATTTATAAGACAATAAAATACATAGGAGAACCTAGCAAGAAAATTTTGAAACACCCATATAAATTTTGTCTTAAGATTGGTATTAAAACCGAAAACACCATTGGAAAATTTTTAGAAAACAATAAAACTAAATCACGAAAAACTCAATAGTCCGGAGTCTACAAGTTGAAATGTGGATCGTGTCCCAAAATTTATAGCGGACAAACAGGTAAAGTGTGTTCATAGATATAAGAAAGTGATTAACTGATACGAATTAAGGAAAGACCCGGGCAAGCTGTAAGAATGAAATATGGCCGAACAGGTCCGTACTTTGCTTAGAATTTAATTATTTGGGGTTTTGTTAGGAAAGATACTAAACAATATTTATTTAGTTATATATGTATTTATGTTTAAATCTAAAATAAAATGACAAAATAATTTTATTACCTACTTAAATAACTCAAAATTATACACATAATATATCAGTATCACTATTGCTATCATCGCCTGTTCTAATTATTATTTGTTCTATATTATTTGCAATATGGATATACAATTGCTCTGCTTTTTCTATATGTTTAACAGAATTTGCCCAACTTTATTCCGTTTCTATGATAAAAACTTCGGTTTCTATAAGTTTGAGGACATTGGAGTTAACACTGGGAAAACATTCTTACGACGAATAGCAGATTTCAGTTGGTGCCAAACATGTTCAATGGGATTAAATACACAGTGGTAAGGTGGAGCCTTAAAACTGTATGCCCTAGATTTTTTGCATAATTATCACAGACATATTAATTTTGTAGGTTCAAGCTTTGTAGAACCTCAATTAATTGCTTTTTGATATAATCTTCGTGAAAATAAATGTCGTTATTATACATGTAGTTTTGGATTGTTGCTTTTGTGTCACATGATGAAGGGGTTTTTGTCAACTGTCTACTGTGATAACTTGCATTGTCCATTATAATGACGTTATTAGGAGGAATGTTTCGAACTAGTTTGTTTTTAAACCAACTTTCAAATAAATCAGCGGTGGTGTCTTCATGGTAATCCAGAGATGAATCTTTAATATTTTTCGCAAAGAAAGTCCACTTGATAGCGCGTTTGTTTTACACTTATCAGTTGAGTCAACCCAACTCTTTTCCGGAGTATGATAAGTGTCGAACCAAGTTTCATCCAAGTAAGTAATTTCTAGATATTCCAGTCGCCATTTACGAATTCTAAAATATTCCTTTAAAACTTGCTTTTCGTCAATTTTTTTAAATCTAAAACCCATGTGTTGAATACACTTCCATAAGGTAGTTCTGCTACATTTAACACCGGAAACACCAGAATTGACAAACGTCAAAATTCAAAGCGTGGGAAATATCTCCGAAAACGTCCGATTGCTTCCAAATCCCTGCTGTAAAATCCCGGAAATGTCCGAAGTGGCTCGGATTCATGGGAAACGAAACTGACGTGGTAAAGTGACGCTTCCCGCACGCTAGATGGGTGGATAATTAGGTAATTTACAGACGGGAGTAGAAAATATTATATTATGCAACAAGTGCGCTAAACGGCATTTGACTCACGAGTTTTTGATAAACGAGTGAGTTAAAAAGTTTACCGAATGTGTTGCATATTATACATTTTCTATGACCATTAGTTTTTGGGTCCATTTTCGCAAAACAACACGAATACATTCACTGACATACCCGTCAGAATTGACAAACGTCAAAATTCAAAGCGTGGGAAATATCTCCGAAAACATCCGATTGCTCCCAAATCCCTGCTGTAAAATCCCGGAAATATCCGAAGTGTCTCGGATTCATGGGAAACGAAACTGACGTGGTAAAGTGACGCTTCCCGCACGTTAGATGGGTGGGTAATTAGGTATTTTAGGTAAGTAGGTATTTTACAGACGGGAGTAGAAAAAATACTATAGTATGTGTCTTATTTTATTTTGCTGAGAATGAACTCAAAGTTACATTATGCATTGCTATTAATTGCAATTGCTACTGCAACTACAATGTTTAAAGACATAAAATTTCTTTCAACGTCTCAAATATAAATACGAAGTTTTAAAACTCATCAACAGCTGACACAATAAAGCGAAATCGTCACAAATCTGCCAAAAAATCTTAGTATAATTCTTTTAATTTTGGTGGCGTCTGAGTTAAAAACTGAACGGCCACAATCACATAGGAGGTAAGAGTCGCGGTCATAAATCCTAGCATTCTATAATTGACAACAAAAAATCCGCTGGCGCGAACGCATGGCTTTCTGAATACGCTTTGCATGGATAACAACAGCAGATCGTCTCTTAATCCTTCCTTGGTCTCGATATATGGCAGCAGAGATATCGAATTTAATATTGAATAACTAATACGATGAGTTTTTGAAGCCTCATTGGACAACCTCTCGCCAATCCAAGCCAGTATTACTGTTTGTACCTAAAAAAAGGCGTTAAATTTCGTAAAGCACAATACCAAGTAGACCTACGATAATTATAACAATTCCCATAGTACAGACCACTAAAAGGTTGGTTCCGTATTCAATTCCTTCTATTTTGATCTCAAAGAAAAATATGGCAAGCATCATCACTACAAAGTTCAGTATCATAACGATACTGACTAATGCAGCGAACATGAAGAGAAAACCAAAAATGCTGTTGAAATTTTCCACCATTTCGCAGAGGAAAGTATGTATTTGGCTGAATTCTTTGACACCGCGGCGATTGTTCAGCCTTACATTGAATTGCTGGGAATATACCCAAAAACCACAATCCGATCCTTTAATAGTGTTCACTAAGAGCTGGTTCAAGGTTTCAAATCTGTCACGCAGTTGGTCCGCTAATACGTTGGCGAAAAACACCGTCAAGAAACATTGGTAAAGCTGAATGACTCGAGTGAGGTAATATTTAGAATACCATTTCAATCCGAGCGTCGAGATCCATATTGTTGCGTCCGATATCATAAAAGCCAACAAAAACACGTTAAAGGTACCAAAGTGGTAATAAATCTTGCGTCTACTCTTCATGACATCGTGTGTCAGCCGCTCATCGAGAAGGTCCAAATGCTTGAACAGGGTTTTAAGTCGATCACTATGCACGTATCCGGAAACTAGAATTACGGAAACTGAAAACACGGCTAAGCATATATGAACGGCGCAATCCATAAATCTAACAGGCGAGATGATGGAGTCGCTTAAATATTTCTGTTTGGCGTAGATCATCCAGATCGTGACAAGTATCCAGAACACCGCACTCCCGATTGAATAAATTTTGTAGAAGTAAGCCATCGATTTGGGTTTAAATGTGGCCCACAATGGGGAACATACACCTAGAACGCTTCCTACTACCAGTATTGATTTCATAACAGCTACGTTTTTATGAGACTGTTTCATTTCACCACTGTCGTTGGGCCTAAAGTGACTATACGAAAAACGAAAATGTTAGTTGACATGATTCGCGGCGATAAATTAACAGATGTTTGATAAGGTTCAATATAAAACATACATCGTTAATTAGGTTGTTAAAGGGATTTGGCAGTGTTATAAAAAATCCATCAATTTTGGATATGGCGGTGGAAAGACGCGTCCAATATATAATATAATATAATAATAGTCGCGGGTTTGTTGTGGTGCGAGCGGAACGAGTTTTTAATAAACCTCAAAAATTTGGTTTCCCTTAAATATTTCTTAGTCGCCTTTGATAACTGAGTTAACATAATTACATTACGCATCTAAATACATCCCATTTAACCGACGCTCCATATTTAATGGTTTAAAACTTACCCATAAAGTTTCATTGAAAAAGTGGCCACCATCACACAGCGAAAACGATTAAAAATAATTTTGCAATTATTTTTAAGTCGTCATTTATATAGCAAAGTCAGGAGGTACAATATTTCAACATTACGAGCATAGAGAGCAAGTTTACAATGACCCCCAAATAAGTTACAGGTGTACGTAGAATATCGCAATAAATTTTGTTCGCCAGGCATTTGAATCAAGCATGGTTTATTTGACGAAAACAAACGCTCAACGGGACAGCTTATATTTCTTTTTTTTTTTAAGAAGATTGTGGCTGAAAACACAGTTATAAAGTAGAATACGCCAATATAAATGTTTATTGTTTTCTTATATAGGGAAAGGGAAGGGGAAAGTATTATTTTCTAACGTCTTTTTGGTTCATAGGTGAGTTTGGAATCTTGTTGTGATGATTTTGTACAACATTTAATACATTTACAGTTTTAACAGTTATTAACAACAGAAGACGAACGCCAAGATGAAATATGATCGGCATATGTTTTATTCTTGCCTAAATATTATTTATGTGAGTTTTGTTTGTTTATTTTTTATGTAGAAGAGTATTAAAAAAAAAATGCCCACTTAATATTTTTACCATAGCTGTTGTTCCACAGTCAATCTAAAAATATTTGTTTGATTTTTTGATTTTCTTTTTGAGATTAAAATAAAACTTTACGAAAATTTTAAATTAAGCTACTTGTCTATAGGTAACAACAATTTTACAATAATATAATAATAATAATAATATTTATTTTGCAATACAGAAGGTATGATCTGTTCATAGATATAAGAAAGTGACCAATTGCTTTTGAACAGATTATCTAAGGTTATTATTATTAATTAAGGTAATAATCTTGTTGCATTGTATGCTAATGACCACCCTTGGATAATCCGTTCAAAAGCAATTGGTCACTTTCTTATATCTATGTACAGACCATATAACAAAATGGCTAAATTTTGCAAAAAAGGAGTTGAAAACAATAACTAAAAGTTCAAGTTCAAGCCCTAGGCACTGAAAATAATATTCAGATACTTGCATATTATGTCCGATCCTTAACAAGCAATAAATGAAAAATAGTTGAAAATAAAAATAGCATCAAAGGAAAAAAAACACGAACGTTCTCGAGAAAGTCCGTTCTATAGATACGTTTAAATAAGTTTAAGCTTAAGCGTTTTCATATTACGTGATTTTGCATTTGTATTCTTTTAATAAAATGTAAATTCTGATTGGTAAAAAAAATATTTCACAATAGCATATTATGCAACAAGTGCGGTAAACGGCATTTGACTCACGAGTTTATTTGACACGAGCGGAGCAAGTGTTTAATAAACGAGTGAGTTAAAAAGTTTACCGAACGTGTTGCATACTATACTTTTCCTACGACCGTTAATTTTTTGGTACATTTTCGTAAAACAACAGGAATACATTCATTGACATGACCGTCAGAATTGACAAACGTCAAAATTCAAAGCGTGAGAAATGTCTCCGAAAACATCCGATTGCTCCCAAGTGACTCGGATTAATGGGAAACGAAACTGACGTAGTAAAGTGACGCTTCCCGCATTCTAGATCGGTGGGTAATTAGGTATGTTAAAGATGGGAGTAGAAAAAGTGATATTAATAGTATATTATTCCGCAAGTTTGATAAACACCATTTGATTCTGAAGAACTGTTGGCAAACTATACTTTTTCTACTACCATTAGTTTTTTGTTACATTTTTGCAAAACAGCAGGAACACAGACATTAAGTGCCAGTGTGAGGTGACCGATGAAACTGACAAACGTCAGAATACCATGACTAAAATCTAGAAAACATCCGATCGCTCTCAAAGCCATGATTAAAATGCCAAAAATATCTGGCTCGCAGCCATAGGTAACGAAACAGGAGTCTTAAAGTGATACTTTCTGCATGTTAGAGTGAGGAGAAGCAGAAGAAAAAAATGTTGAATGTTCTATAACATTCGGTCTATTGTTTATACACAGCTTAAGCTGTGATTACAGGAATACATTTCTATTTGGCATTGCAAAGACCAGGCAAATATTTATAAAATTTTTCGAAAAGAGCAAAGGCATTAGACTTTTGTGTTTAAATTTGACTATAACGCTGAATTCGTATTCACTAGCCACAACCAAACATTTCCAAAAATGTCGACAACATATTTTACAAATCAAAACTAAAAAACTGGCAACTTGGAAAAATAAATTCTAAATGCCCATGATAACCATCGGCACATTTTAAAAAGTCAGATTTGAGATTTTATTCACATAAACAATATAAAACAAAACCTAATAAACTCGGTGATTAATCATAGCGAAAAATTCGACTTCCTATCTAAGTTCACCAAATCCAAAGTATTAATATTCTCAAACGCACCAATACGGGCGTACCTGTATGTTAAAGGACGGACAATTGAACAGATAGTATCAGCAAAATACCTAAGATTTAACATCAACTGTCTGTGTGATCCGAAAAAAGAAATACTTGCAAGCATAGAACAAGCTCCAAAAACACAAATGAGTACGAAAAAATTCTTTACACAACCGGAATTCGGATGCTATGGATTTCCTGGATGCAGAGGGTTACTAATGACGAAGTTCTCCAACGCATGCAAAAACAAAAATAGCTTCTGAACGTCATTAAGAAAAGAAAAATGCAGTATCTGGGCCATATAATGCGAGGTGACAAATACCAATTGCTGCAGCTAATAATAGGAGGCAAAGTACAGGGAAAAAGATCCGAGACCAAAACTCATGGCTAAAGAATTTGAGTAAATCTTTCGAGCGGCACTTTCAAAAGTTACGATGGCCATTTGGGTTGCCGACCTAGAAGAAGAAGAAGGAACATATGGTAAACATTTAAAATCACTAATGTTTCAATTCTTCATAATAACTCAGAAACTACCGTATACAAACTAACTATACAAGAAAAAACTAGTGTAGTAATAGGCAAACATCATACTTATATTTTCAATAGCATCGGAGTTTCCATTCAGGAAACATTGAAAATAAGATCGTTGGTGTTTTGTACTTTCCCCCTTGCTAGTTGTTGAAGTTTCAAATTTACCTAAGAAATAAGTTTAAATAGCTTACTATTTAGAAAATTTCTGAATTCCTCCTGATATTTGATAGAACTTGCTGACGTTTCGCCAAATATCCTGTTGGCTTCTTCAGAGCTTAACTGAAATTGGATAACTTGTTTCCTTAATTTACATTTTTGATCAAATTCGAAAACAAACACAAAACCATAGTAGCTACAACAAAAATATGGATGGATCCACCGTACCGGGTTTTGGGTGGGCCGGAAGTGGGACGATGCCAACGTCGATTCGGAGAAAATAAACGGCACTGGCAATAGCAAGTAAACTAGCAGCACTGAATTACGTCCAATTAACGCCGAGTGATATTATACTGGTGAAACCCAATCTTGGATATCGCTCGCACTTTGTTTTAATTGCAAATCAATTACCGACTGCTCATTGAAACGGATATTTCTATAGGTTCAATTTATATTCACAACCGGCTCACCGTCTCGTCAAAGGAAATTACAAGTTACTCAGAGAATTCTTTTCTTTGTGCCCTGTCGCAATCGTTTTAAAGGAACTGCAAAATTCGACGTTGAAGGTAGCTGACTCAAATGAGGGCAAAGTTACAATTCTATTAGTATATATAGATAAGTTGGAGCTTGACAGACCGTGTATACTTATATAACTTAACGGAACCAACCAAAGAAAGAGAACTTTGAAATAAATCATTCTAGCACGAGAGAAGATAATCTTTAACTTTACGATTAAGTTGTTTAAGACTCAACAACTGAAATAAAAAAAAGTGAATACTTATATAACTTAACGGAACCAACCAAAGAAAAAGAACTTTGAAATAAATCATTCTAGAACGAGAGAAGATAATCTTTAACTTTACGATTAAGTTGTTTAAGACTCAACAACTGAAATAAAAAAAAAGTGAACTGCAGTTACGTGTCACTATTTTTGTATATATATATATATATATATATATATATATATATATATATATATATATATATATATATATATATATATATATATACTCACAAATTAGGCAGTTCAGAAACACACTGCATGGTTATTGCTTCTAAAGTTAACTGTCAAAAATTCTATAACTCGGTGGATATACAACGGACATGACGGTTTTTTTTTTCGAAAGTGTTGTAGTAATTTTGTCGAATGTGCACGCAAAACGATTGGCAATAAAATAAGGATTTTAACCAATGGACTAATAATAATAATTAATAATAATAATAATAATAATAATAGTTCATTCACAAATAGCACATTCAAAAGAACATTAAATAAGTAGAGATACATAAATACTAAATAGACAAGGGAAAAGCTCACGAAATATTAGCAAAAGAATATTTATTTGTGAGCTGAACAGCATTAATAAATCCAAAAAAATACATAAAAATTTAAAGTTAACTATTTTTTAAATCTGGATATAAAGTCTCGGCTGCTGAATAACCCATTCTTTTATTTTCTTTTTATATTCATTATAGGGTCTATAATTTAATCTACGGTCTAAAATTGAAGGTATTAGTGTCTTATACCATATTTCTGCCTCATTTTTCATACGTTTCTTCCTTGTAT